AACCAAAATGAGAAGACACTTATAATGACCTAAGTGATTTTAAAACCTAGCATATATCAAAGCAGAGGCACTGTACAACCAAAAATCAGTATTCATTCTGAAACAACTGAGCATAAGAGCTGCAGTCTGTAAGTACAAATAGCAACTAAAAGAATACTCTTTCAAAACACAGCGCATTTCTTTTAGTTTTGTGATATCCTAGCATTTCTTCTGTTAGCAGATAAAACCTGGAACAAAATGTTCTCTATAAAAGCTAGCATGGAGAATGAAATGATAAGTGACTGCTGAAGGAAAGATTTATACATCCTGGAGGGTCTACATTCCTCTCTATAAGGGATATCTGAGCAAGGAATCTCCAAAGCAAGATAAAGTGTAGACAATTGCATGTATATTTTTAATGCAGTAAAAAAACCCATACAAAGACATAAAAAGTGCTTCTGGTCTGAAAATCAGTTTCATGAAGAATTACAGTTAGGGAGTATGACTCCTTCCTGTTGAAAAAAAAGAGTGATCAAACTACAGCAATAATTAAAAGGTTGCCTTGTCTTACCCAAACGGATCACCAACTACCAGAAATGCGACATCACAAACATCAGCTTCTTTTAAAATGCTATCGGCTTCTTGTTCCACTGTTTCTCGGTCAGCCAAAATCAATTCTTTCCCATAAAACTCTTCCTAGAAATTGAAGTTAATAAGAAACACCAAAATAAGACACTTAGGGGTGTTTTTGTATTTCTCTGGGTGCTCACTCAGGAACAGAGACAATGGACACTGGAACGGCCAACTCTATTATTCTCCCCAGCAGTCTGACCCATGTCTCAAAGAACCCTGCCTCCCCTTGCAAGAACACCTGAGCTTCCCGTAAAGCAGCTCCCGAGTTGACAAAAATTAGTCAAGCACATGATTCTGACACTGCCTTGGTTTTTTATGCCTTTTGTGTCAGTCAAGGACCTGCTCCAGAAGTAGCTCAATCGCACCCGCACACTGAGGGGACCTGGGTGGGCTCTAGGCATAGTTAATTTAACCAGTCATCCTACTTAGGGCATCCCCTCTCCCAAGTCTGAGCCTAACTGCTCAGGTTAGTTATAATACTGACATCAAACCAGACACAAATACGACACTAGCTATACCAAATCCTAGCTTTTTGGGTTTTCCCTTAGTATACTGTAACTAACCACATCTAAGGAATGATTTCATACTCATCCTTCACCTTCAGTTCTCTGTAAGAAATACGTTACTGTGTATACAGGTAAGCACGTATTTGACCGTGTCCTTCATCAGCTCAGTAATCATCATGTCTCTTTGTATGTTTTAAATGCCTTTTTTTTCCAGAATCAGCCTCACGTGTAGTAAAACTTCGGTTAGTTCTAGAACATGTTATATGACTATCATGAACATATCTGTCTCTAAGTCATGTGTCACCATACATTTTACATGCTCTTTACATGACCAGATAAAGTTTTTTTTCCAGGGAATAGACCAAAAAAGGTGGGTTTGTTCTAAACAGTATTCAGAAAATTTGTGTGGTATTACAAATATTAACAAATTGATAAAACTATTAAGTCAGTTATGGTCCAGAAAGATTTTCCTCTGACTTCTGTGACTTCAGTGGTAGCTTCATCTTTGTCCACACAGAATAGCGAACTGATGAGAGAACCATCATACTTGCAGGGAAGCAGAGTAGTGCTTCCATAAAGAAAACCATCCCACAGCTAGAGTAGTAAATACGGGACCTCTGTTACTGCCCCCGGTTCCTTTTCCTAAAGATGACTTCCTCACCATTTCTGGGTAAGTACCTCTGTAAAACGAGGATATTATTTTCCTTGTGAAGCAGACTGCAACTACAGATTTGACAGCAAGGGGACCAAATAAATGTGTAAGCCATCTTGTATCTGTGATTCAGAACAGCTGGCGGCTGGAGTACTGCTGATACTAAACAAACTGCAGCAAACTCGGACAACCCGTTTGTTTTCATTCGGTATCTTACACAAGAGGCACGTTAGCCAGTCGCACAGCCCAACCAGAGCTGACCGGCACGGCGAAGCACTCGGTGCGGAGAACTCGGTAACAACGCTGCGCCCGTGCGGGTGGGTTTCCCGTCGGACCAGACTAACTCCAGCGCAGTGCTGCAGGCGAGTGCGCACCCGGGCCTACCAGGTGCACCCCCAGACGCACACCTTCCAGCCTGTTGTCAGCGAACGGGATCTGTCTGCGTGCTTCGAGAGTGCTCCACAGTGCGAGTCAAAGCTCGTTAATTAGAGAATATCTAAAAAGGACTCTCTTGTCAAAAACTGAAATGTAGATCCACTGGGAGGTCACTGGGTCCAAACAGATCTTTCACCCATTGAGGGACAATTTAGAAGGCCAACATCAGATAGATTTTCATACACGTTTTAGGCCAACAGGATAAACTGAGCAAGTCATGTCATTTGAATTTTGAGATCTGATTTTAAAAGCATCAGGCGGATTTCTAGAAATCCCTGCAGGAAAGAATCTGTTCTTTACCTCTCGAGAGCTTTCCCATAACTTTTCGTGTTGTTAGGAGAGACTGACCTTCAGATTACAAAATAAACCATTCAGCATTGTCACTTGTATGTAAACTGCGCTGTATTATCAACACTTGGTGATTTAATTCCTGTAGTCCCTCTTAGGCAGTTTCGGGTCAGACAGCATCTTTTACTTTGTTTTTATTGATTGCTTTTCCCAATTACCTCATCTTTGAGACTTCAAGGTTTCCAAAAGACTTAAATCAGTTAAGTGTAGATTTTTCAAAGTAAAAATATCCAGTATAATTTCTATTTTGCATTTTTCTAACTATACAACAACAACAACAAATTTTGTTTTAAATGGATTAATTTCAATTCAGATTGCTTCAGTGTACTGAAAAAAAAAAACAACAGAAAAACATGGAGTATATCTTCATTTCAAAATACAGCAGACATACTAGAGATGTCCCCAAATATGCTAGCCTAGCTTGTATCTGGAAACCACATAATGCTGACTACAAGCTAGAAGTCTCACGTGCTGTATATGTACATACAGGTATGCATACAAGTACATTATGGCTATACAGCACCCAAGATCCAGACAGCATCCCTGTATAGTACTGCACAGCTTATTCAGAGGAGAGATCCCTGTTCTGTGGGTAGGTAAACACGTTTTTTTAGTATTATTTCAACATTAAACTTTATCTTCCTGTGGCCAGTGAACCCATCAGAGTTATAATTTGTATGTTTTTACTACTGTCCTCTTCCCTAAGGAGTGTTTACTAACAAAAAGCTTATCTCCATGTTGTTCAACAGCCCATCTCTGACTGAGCTGTGTATGTTGTGGAAGCTGCAATATGGTGAGACAGCTTGGCCCACAAGGAGACATGAAAACGTGAGATGGTTACTCCCAGCAGGCACACCGTAACACCCCAGGGTGATTCAGAGGTTCAAAGCTCCAAAACATGTTTTTTTCTGGTACCTCTTTTGTTGGTTTTTTTTGTTTTTAAACAGATCAGACGTTTTTCTAACCAAGTTCTCCAATATTTCAGGATCTCCGGATGCCGTTAGAATTTGAAATGAAAACTAGCGTAAATACTTGTAAGCAGGAAAATTTTATTTTCGTTCTAGTTTTCTCACAAGGCAGCGAAAGGATTTCTCCTATAAAACATAGCCTGTGAAGGCCACGTGTGTGTTTTTTCCGAGCACAGGCACCCGGCGTTCCTCCTGCTGACCGGACTGCCCCGGCAGCCCCAGCCCCCTCCTCGGGGCCAGCGGCCAGACCTACCAGCGCTTCCTTGCCCACCGTCAGGACGGACGTGTAGGCCTCCAGGTACACCCTGCGGCACCGCCTCACCGCCTCCAGCCCCTTCACTGTGA